CTACCCGTCAAATGGAAAGTTCAACATTATTGTTACCTGCAAAGCAAGAAATAAAATTAAGTAAAAGCTACTATCCAGTTGGAGAACCAATAGTGAAGACTGCTGCGGCCATCCAAGCTTCAGGTTTGTTTAAGTTACTGAATTATTTTTGGAAGATACTTTGTCCGGCACTTGGCTAGTGTTCATCAGCATTTAGTATCTCCATGCTTTTAATTCCACCAGCCTTAGTTGAATTTACTTGTAGACCATCCAGATATAAGGTGTTTTTTATGTTTTCTGATCCAAAAGCAATCAAGACTTCAGATGTTTTGCTATCCATGTCTCCCTCTGTCTTTTACATGTTTGGAAACCATCATTTAGTTTTGTAGTTTTTCAGCTTCATTAAAAGTAATTCACAAGTCTTCTGGGGAAAATTGGCTCTAAAAATTTACCATGTGGTAGTTACTTTCTGCTAGACCTTGTACTAGTTTCTTATCTCTCATTATTGAACATTATGATCATGCTCTACTACTTTATCACTCTAACCCCCTCATCTGTTCGCGTTCTCCTCTTCAGTTAGCCCCACTCGCTTTTTACATGTTTGAACTGGACAACTCATAATATAAGCCTTCACATGTCACTATATTTAAATTCTTTTGCAGGGGAAGCTGTGTATGTTGATGATATCTCATCACCTCCAAACTGCCTGTACGGAGCGTTTATTTATAGTACAAAACCATTGGCCAAAGTCAAGGGTATTGATTTCAAATCAGGCAATCATTTGGCCAGTGTTGCTGCTGTCATTACTTACAAAGACATTCCAGAAATAGGTGAAAATGTGGGATCCATGACTACTTTCTGTTCTAGTCCGTTGTTTGCTGATGACATTACCAGGGGTGTCGGTGAACTGATTGCATTTGTGGTAATTGCTTTGATTCCAGGGCAGTCTTTGTTAACTGTTGATCGTTTCTAGCATACAAATCAATATTCTGCATAGTTAGCATTTTAATATTCTGAACGGAAAACATAATTAGGTGGCCGAAACACAAAAATTGGCTGATATTGCAGCAAACTCAGCTGTGGTGAGCTATGACAGCGATAATCTGGATCCACCAATTTTATCTGTTGAAGAAGCTGTTGAGAGGTCTAGTTTCTTCGACGTTCACCCTTTATTTTATCCTGAACACATTGGTGATTTCTCGAAAGGAATGGCTGCAGCTGATCATAAGTTAATTTCTGCTGAGGTAATGTCAAACAATTTTTCCTTTTTCACTTTGTTGGCCACTTGGCTTTATTTACTGTAGGGGTTATATATTGTCCACACCACCATTGAAGTTTCAATGCTGCTAGGAACCATATTTTTTGCTGATGTGATTTTCAGATCAAACTTGGGTCCCAATACTACTTTTACATGGAGACGCAAACTGCCCTGGCCGTTCCGGAGGAAGACAATTGTATGGTGGTTTATAGTTCAACCCAGAGCCCGGAAAATGTTCACAAAGTAGTAGCAAAGTGTCTTGGCATTCCAGAGCATAATATACGTGTGGTAACGAAAAGGGTTGGTGGAGGCTTTGGAGGCAAGATAATGAGAGCAATGCCTGTAAGTGTTGAACTCAGAATGCACATATTAAAAGGATAGAAGAAACATGTATTGTTCATATTGCTAGTTATCTACAGATTAATGAATTCTTATTTTTTCAAAGCCACAACTTTTTCCTGTGTGTTGTTACTTTTCACAAGGGATTTTTTTTCTCTGTCAGCTTTGATTTAACAGTGACGATACCTGGATTTGCACCGTTGGTATAGGGTGGAACTCCGACTAAGGTTCCCTGCAAAACAGAGCCTCGGGCGTCTCCCGAGGGTAGACACTCGATGCTTAAGTTAGAAAAGTAGGGTTGCTTGTATGATGATATGAGGGTTGAGATAGCGTACCTCTATTGTGGAATAAAGGTCCCTATTTATAGGCTTGAGGGGGAATCTGATTCCCACTAGGGTTACCAACAATAAACCGCCATATCAACGATCTGGACCTTTAAGCTGAATAGTGGACCGGCCCATGTATGGTGATGGTCCTGGACTCGCCAAACAGATTCCTCTAAGACATGCATGACTTTGCAGCCACAGGAAATAGTTTAAACTAAAATGTAAATGAGTTTTTTCTTAATATTGTTAGAGGGCATTAACTTTTTACTCTGTAGTTGACAAAAGATGCCTATTGTATAGTAATGAACTACATTACTTTGCTTTATTCTTAATTTCATATATTTTTGATATTCCGCTGATGGGAATCTTTAAGCATACTTCTGGAATGAGGTAAGAGAAGAAAAACCATTAGAACTTAGAAGAGCTTATCAGATTGCTATAAGCAAGTGTAATCTGTTGTAGAAAGCCTGACACGTATTACTCCCGTTTTGAATATGCTTAACATCTGTCTCCTTTGCTCTTTATCTCTACGTCTCATTTTGTATGTATCGTGTGCCCTATGTTGCCATGAACATTTAAGCCCTATGTTGCCATGAACATTTAAGCCCTATGTTGTGGATGTATTTAATGCGTGAAGAAGTCATAAAACTTAGCTAGAAAGCCATATATAGTTACTTTGCAAAGCCACTCATGTAGTTTTGTCTAGTTAGTTGTTCGTGCAGAGACAATAAATGGATCTAGCTCATAAACATTAGCTTTTCCTGATTCAGTCTCAGATACTAGCATTTCATGATAGTCGGATTTGTTTTATACGCTTTCTTCCCGTTTCAAATTCCTGTTTGGGTAATGCTTGCCAAAATTTGTTCAGGTCGCTACAGCTTGTGCACTAGCAGCGCACAAGTTACGCCGTCCTGTCAGGACATATCTCAACCGCAAGACTGATATGATAACTTCTGGTGGAAGACATCCCATGAAAATAACTTATAGTGTTGGATACAAAACAAATGGAAAAGTTACAGCGCTACACCTTGATATATTGATTGATGCCGGGATGTATGAAGAGCTCAGCCCACTCATGCCATTCACCATTAGTGGTCCACTTAAAAAGTATAACTGGGGAGCTTTGTCTTTTGATTTCAAAGTTTGCAAGACAAACCATTCCAGCAAATCAGTAATGAGAGCTCCGGGCCAGGTGCAAGGATCCTTTATTGCCGAAGCGATAATAGAAAACATCGCTTCTGAACTCTCAATTGAGGTTGATGCTGTCAGGAACATTAATCTTCACACACTAGAAAGCCTGAGTGTTTTCTATGGAGGAGCTGCGGGTGAAGCACCTGAATATACTTTACCTGATATATGGGACAAATTGGGTAAATCTTCAAGTTTAACAGAACGAATGCATGTGATAGAGCATTTTAATAGGGGGAACATATGGCGAAAAAGGGGCATCTCAAGGGTTCCCATTGTGCACCAAGTGTCAGCAAGACCAACTCCAGGAAAAGTTAGCATTCTTTCAGATGGGTCTATTGTAGTAGAAGTTGGAGGAGTTGAGTTGGGGCAGGGGCTGTGGACTAAGGTGAAACAGATGACTGCATTTGCTCTCAGTTCAATTGGATGTGATGGAACTGAAAACCTTGTGGAGAGAGTACGAGTAATACAATCAGACACCTTGAGCTTAGTGCAAGGTGGTTTTACGTCTGGCAGCACAACATCCGAATCTAGCTGTGAAGCTGTCAGATTATGCTGCAACACTTTAGTTGAAAGGTTATGCCCACTTAAAACTAAGTTGCAGGAGCAAAAGGGTTCTGTTCATTGGGATTCCCTATTACTTCAGGTATCTTTCAAGAGATGGTATTTTTCATTTTTGTGATCATTCCCGTTCGTCGCATTTTTTCTTAACATCTTAATAAACTTTCTTTGGTTCTAACAAATTATAACTCTGAGTTTACTAGGTTAGTGTGAATAAAGCGAACAAACTTTGGCCCGGGAACTACATGATTCATGAAACTACTTGGAAATTGCATTATGTTAATGGTTACAAATTGATCTTTTCATGAGTTGTGAGGGGCTCAAATTATTCTCAACCTAATTTTTTGAGCTATAACCTTATACAAGTTTCAAGGGTGAAAATTTGGCCTGAGACACACCTAATATACAGATAATATACACTGAGTTGCTAAGCTTTTTCTTTTCTTAGATCTGTCTTAAACTCTTACATTCTTTTTAGTGTGATTCCATCTTTAGCTCTTTCAATCTTGTTGTTTCTCTCATATTATAGGCTCATTCTCGAGCAGTGAACATGGCAGCTCACTCATATTACGTACCCGAGTCTGATTCCATGGAGTATCTAAACTATGGTGCTGCTGTCAGTGAGGTACCTTAAGTTCATTACTTGTCTTAACCTCGTAAACAAGGCTTATAGTTAAGTAGTGTTTTGTTGCATTGCCTAAATAATGTGTCATGAAAGGTTCAGTATCTAATAAAACACCATAATCCTTCATCGGACAAGCCATGAACTAAGGTACTTTATATGGCCTAATATTACAATGGATGCTGAATTTGCTGGTCATACAGGTGGAGATAAATATACTCACAGGAGAAACTAGCATTCTAAGAACAGATATCATTTATGATTGTGGACAGAGCTTGAACCCTGCAGTTGATCTGGGACAGGTACGTAACGAGTTTATTAACACGTCGAATCTACTAACTCTACTGATGTGCGATGAATCAGGTTTTTATTACTTCATTCTGCGGATAGCAAGCTACAAGGAAAATTTTATTGCATGAAACTTAATTTCTTCTTGTAGATTGAAGGAGCTTTTGTGCAAGGAATTGGCTTCTTCATGCTTGAAGAGTGCCTTGTCAATGCAGATGGATTGATGATTTCAGACAGCACATGGACATACAAGATCCCAACAATCGACACCATACCAAAGCAGTTCAATGTTGAGATCCTTAACAGTGGACCTCACAAAAACCGTGTCTTATCATCCAAAGGTATTTTTTTTACTACCAGATTTCTATGTGAGAGTTTCCTCATAACATTCATCGATCTCTTAAATATGAACTGTCATTTTTCCGCAGCCTCTGGCGAACCGCCATTGCTACTGGCAGCATCAGTGCATTGCGCAACAAGAGCGGCGATTAAGGAAGCCCGGAAACAGCTAAAATCATGGGGTAAGCTTGAAGGAACTGATTCAACATTCCAGTTGGACGTTCCGGCTATTATGCCTGTAGTGAAGCAACTCTGTGGCTTAGATTACGTAGAGAAATACTTGGAAAGTTTACTTGCTGATTCATAATGCCATAGTATTGAACCTTAAATCCGTTTACCTATGTGTTTTCAATTGGATTATTCAATAAGACTCCCTCCCCCCTGTTTACAAATTACTACAACAATGTATAGTTTTAAATTTAAACGTAAGACTAATCTAAGTTAAACTCTTAGTAGATCTCTCCGACTATTTTAGAATAGAAAAGACAGATTCAGAATCTAATTATCCTAGTGAATTATCTTTGTAATTCAGGAATTGAGTGAGGTGAAAATTAGAAAAAAGGGAAGAGATCCAGTAAATATTAGATTTGGGCACCATCTGCAAACACGATTAATGGGGAAATTAATTAACTAGGAATGCTAAGAATTTGAACTAATATCCTAAAGAAACTGAAATTCAATCATTTTATTATTGCCACAAAAAATTTGATGAATTGGGGTCGAGAAAAAGATTTCAGAATCAGTGGAGGTGGGATGAATGGAGCTATCTCACCCTGATTTTACAATGCTTATACTCCACTTGAGAAAGCACTTTGACAATTAACAAGATATTAGTTCTTAAGAAGAAAAAAAAAGATAAGTTCTAAATTCAAGCTCTAATACTAGTGTGTTCACGACTAGTTTATTTTGTATTATCGCAAATCAACATATTGCCTGTCTTTTACAATGTATCGTGTGAATTAACACAATTATCCATTATTCCGTTACAATTTATTATGTTACAATTTATTATGAGTAGTGATATCATATATGCATGGAAAATTTATATTTGGGTGGATGAATTTTAACTATCCCAAGTCCCTTAAATTGATAAACCTGTAAACGTAAAGTTTAACTATCAATGATTATGATTCAATCCCAGTATATTTCCCTAACAAAGTCAATCTTCTATTGAAAAACCTTTGTATACCTAATTCATAATCGTAAGAAAAAACAAGCGGATGGTAGGAATTTCCTGAGAGCATTTTTTGAACCTTAAGACTTAAATTTTGAGCATAAATTAAAAGGAATCATGTTATAAAAGACAATCCAAATAAAAAACTATTTCCCAGACCCAAAATAACTGTTCAGTTCAATTTTCATTTTTAATTTGCATTACATTAAAAATATAAAGATTCAAATAGGATCATTATTTCAGAATCAAAATGGCATTTCAATCTCTTGTAGACCTTGTTGTTAGTTCAATTACATGAGAAAAATCATGATCTCCCAATGTTTACTTATCCTAAATTTCATCTCAACTGATATCTCTGACTACACAATCTTATAAAATATAATATTTTTAATGTATGCTTTGTTTTTTTAGATATTTGAAGTCATTATTTACTGATAACACGAAGGAATAATTAATATCGCAGGTCCTGGTCATGCATGTGTAATTTCTTAATAGAAGATGTACTTTTAAACAAAAAATAACACATCAGTACCAATTTGCAGATTAAATATATGGTATCGTTTTTTCAACTTTCCAGATCGTGAAGTAACATTGGTTGGAGGCTTTTAACAATTAAGGATTACAAAAAAAGGAATGAGAAAGAGTATTCTAATTACTCTGTCTATACTAGAATAATTATCATGTATGTCAAAAAATAAAAATAGATGAAATATTTATTTCGAGACAAAATAAATACTATGATTACATTATGACTAGCAATTGCAAATCCTTTTTCTGCATCTTGAAACTGAAAATGACTCCAAAATCGATAATCTACGTTGGTAGCTTGTAAGTGTGACATTTTGTTTAGGATAAGATGGAATATGGCTTTTGACCAAAATAAAAACTATAAAAAATTGGAGTAAGGCTGATTTGGAGTTTTCAGTGAGTAGTAGTTGTACAACCCAAAGTCCTTGAAAGTGCCACCCAGAACAAGAATCTTGCTCGTTGAATAATGCAATTTTTTTTATTAATGCAGATCGAGTTAGCAGATCTCACTCTCCGAATCAGCGAGTTTTAGTGATAAAACCGCTCTTACTCGCGGAAAAAGTTGATAGTTTAACTTGTCCTCTAATACGCGGATCGAGTTATATGGTCAACATTAAGCATTCTGTCTATGAATTTATTGAGCTTATGCAAACTATGTATTAAACTCCAAATTTGTCTAAAGTGGATTACTTTCTCAGTGATGGTGTAAAGTGTCATTCTTGTAAAAATCGAGGTGGCTGCTCGCAATTTTAATTTTTTTGAAGGAGTTGACAAATGGACAAGTGATTTACATTTGTCATTTGACATCAACGTAGTTTGTCTACAAAAAATAAATAAATAAAAAGTCTTCGCCACCTTAGACAGAGCTTCTTCTTGTATGAATAAACAAGTTTCTGTAAGTCATTTTGGGATTGTGTCCCTTCTTGGTTTCAAGGCTCAGCAGGGGCAGAAATGGAGGGAATAGCTCAGAAAAAGGATTCCGAACTCGAAACCGGTGATGGGATTCTGGTGTTTGCAGTGAATGGAGTGAAGTTTGAGGTGCCAAGTATTGATCCTGCAACTACTTTGCTTGAGTTCTTGCGGTGTCAGACACCTTTCAAGAGTGTTAAGCTTGGATGTGGTGAAGGTGTATTTTAAACATCTTCAATCTATTTGCTGGCTTTTATTTTATTTATTTTTTGTTTGAATGTTCGTGCATGTAGCTGAAAATGGCGGAATATGGTACGTTAGGATGATCTGGTCTTCCCCGTTTGGTTTGTTTAAGTTGATTTTGAATGAGAATGAGCAGGGTATCTTCCTTAAAAATGACTACTTTACATAATGCAGTATTGTGTTAGCTCATCTTTCTTCATCTGTTCATTTCTTTGTTTCTGATTGTTTTAATTTCATTTTTGTTTTTAAATGGCAAGAATTTTTTGCCAATATTTGTGTGTGGAGTCCTTGTAATTGGTGAATGAAGGGAGTTTTGCTCTCAGTTGACCAAAGTATCAGAAGAAATCAAGATCTTCTAGAGATTAGTCTTTGAAGTTAGAATTATTGCAGTAAGCATCTGACAATTGAGCTTATCTTTGCTGTAGTTTGGATCTAGTTCTAAATGACTGGTTTCTTAATCTCTCTCTGTCTCTTTTCCTTCCCGAAATAGAGTAGACAGTTGTCCTAAACTGTATCCATGAACTTCAGCAAACTAAATTATTTGAAACACATTTCTAGGCTTTTCAGCCTTTTATGGTAGTGTAAAAAGAAATTGCTTTCAGTCTTTAGTTATTGCTAGTTTATTGTAATTCTCTAACTATAAGACTTGGCAGATAGTGTAGACGAATGTGGTTAACGTGTTTATCTCTACTCCCTTAAGTCGATATTGAAGAAATCTGCTTACTATGATCCGTAGACTTTGCTAGTAGTTCTTATGACTCTGCCACTGCTGGATGCAACCTTCTAGATGTTCAGGCATTAGTATTATTATGACTATTGCTTTTATTTTGCCAGAAGCTTGTTCAGTTCAGATTCAGTAGAGTTTTATGGATGTTTAAGGAATACTTGTTTGGGATTTCAATTTGCTGTGAACATATCTTACATTCTGTTGTTTAGAGATTTGCTTGTGTGTCAAGTGTGCACATGCATTCCCCTCTCATGTGGCTTCTGCATCTAATAGTACGGATTCTGTTGTTTAACCAAAACAGGTGGTTGTGGTGCATGTGTGGTTATGGTGTCAAAGTATGACCCGATTCTTGATCAAGTTGAAGATTTTACTGTGAGTTCATGTTTAACCCTTCTCTGCAGTATGAATGGTTGTTCAATTACTACTAGTGAAGGCCTTGGAAATAGTAAAGATGGTTTCCATCCAATTCATCAAAGATTCACTGGATTCCATGCTTCTCAATGTGGTTTTTGCACACCTGGAATGTGCATGTCCCTTTTTTCAGCACTCAAAAATTCCGAAAAGAAGTCACAGAGACCTGAACCTCCACTAGGATTTTCTAAGCTTACCACATCTGAGGCTGAAAAGGCTATAGCAGGAAATCTCTGTCGATGCACTGGATATAGGCCCATATCTGATGCCTGTAAAAGTTTTGCTTCAAATGTTGATTTGGAGGACTTAGGACTAAATGCTTTCTGGAAAGTGAGAGAGCCAAAGGAAACTAAACTAAGCAGACTACCATCATACAATCCAAGTCTTTGCGTCAATGAATATCCAGAATTTTTGAAAGGCAGGTTCCAACAAGCGTTGAAACTGGACTCCAACAGTTATTCTTGGTACAATCCTACCACTCTTGGAGAGCTCGAAAGCTTGTTGAACTCCCAGGCTGTGGATAACAGTTCACCAATTAAGCTACTTGTTGGTAACACAGGGGTAAGCTACTACAAGGAACTTCAGCACTATGACAAATTCATTGATCTGAGACATATACCTGAGCTTTCAATGATAAGAAGGAACCACAAGGGAATTGAAATTGGAGCTGCTGTGTCAATTGCAAGAGCCATTTCTTGGCTGAAGGAAAATGATACCGCGATTTCTTCCTCGAACAGTGGGATGGTGTTCCAAAAGATTGCAGATCATATGGAGAAAATCAGTACAGGGTTTGTAAGAAACTCGGCCAGTATTGGTGGGAATTTAGTGATGGCACAAGGGAAAAATTTTCCTTCAGATATAGCTACTTTACTTCTTGCTGTAGATGCTACTGTTAGTATCGCAACTGGTGACAAGCATGAAGTTGTTACATTGGAAGACTTATTGGCAAGGAAACCCATTGATTGTAGAAGTGTTCTTCTCAGTGTACAGATTCCATTTCCTGAGCCGAAAAGAAAGAATAACATCATTGTATCTGACTCGAAATTGTACTTTGAGACCTATCGTGCTGCCTCTAGACCCCTGGGAAATGCTCTGCCTTATCTGAATGCTTCTTTCTTGGCTGAAGTGTCTCCTTGCATAAATGGAGGTGTTGTAAATGATATCAAGTTAGCTTTTGGTGCTTATGGTACAAAGCATGCGATACGAGCAAGGAAGGTTGAGGAACATCTTTCAGGAAAATTAGTTACTGTTAATGTCTTACGTGAAGCTATAAAATTAATTAAAGAAGAGGTAGTACCTGAATCTAGTACCTCACATGCTGCTTACCGGACAAGTTTGGCTGTTAGTTTCCTTTTTCAGTTTCTTTCCCCATTTCTTGATCCTGGTTTTCCTGTTAAGGATGGTTTATTGAATGGAATTACCTATAGTTTATTGGAATCTCAATCCAAAAGCCTTAGCGAGGTCTCTACTGGTCAAATGGAAAGTTTAACATTGTTGTTACCTGCAAAGCAAGTGGTGAATTCAAGTAGAGACTACTATCCAGTTGGAGAACCAATAGTGAAGACTGCTGCTGCCATCCAAGCTTCAGGTTTCTTAATGCTTTGATTTTATACGACAAATTTTCCTAGACATGGTTACTATTTATCATCATCTCATATATCTCAGGCCTTTGGTTCCTTCTGTCTCAGTTGATCTTACTTTTCAGGATAAAAGTCTTTGTATCCATAAAGAGCCAGGACTTTATGTTTTCTTCTTTGTCCTTAAAATTTTGGCCATCAATATCTTATGCATGTTTGAAAACTATCTTGCTTCTTTTCTCCTGGAACTTGAACTAATGTCTATCTTCATCACTGGACATTATAATCACGTTCTCCTTTATCTTTGTGACTCACTAATTTTGTTATCTTTCTCTCCTTCAGTTGGGCTACACATGGTTGAACTGGACAACTGATAGAATTACTTTGGTTAATGATGCAGGGAAAGCTGTATATGTTGATGATATCCCATCGCCTCCCAACTGCCTGTATGGAGCCTTTATTTATAGTACAAAACCATTGGCGAGGATAAAGGGTCTTGATTTCAAATCAGGTGCTCAACTGAGCAAAGTTTCTGCAGTCATTACTTATAAAGACATTCCAGAAGTAGGGGAAAATGTGGGATCCAAGACCTTTTTTGGTTTTGATCCTCTATTTGCTGATGAAATTACCAGGGGTGCTGGTGAACTGATTGCATTTGTGGTAATTTCTTGGTTGTAGAGTCCTCTTTAATAATTTCAGATGGTTACTAGCATACCATTCAATATCCTTCATAATTAGCTTTTAATTTTTCCAAAATATTTAGTTGGCAGAAACGCAGAAATCTGCTGATATAGCTGCTAGCTCAGCTGTGGTGCACTATGACACTGAGAATATGGATCCACCAATTTTATCTGTTGAAGAAGCTGTTGAGAAGTCAAGTTTCTTTGACGTTCCTCCTTTCTTGTATCATAATGTTGGTGATTTCTCAAAAGGAATGGATGAAGCTGATCATCAGTTAATTTCCGCAGAGGTAATGCCAAACAATTTTCCTGTTTCACTAGCTGTTTGATATTATCCAAAACACCAATCAAGATTACATGCCGCCAGTGATGATTCTTCTGCTGGTGTGATTTTCAGATAAATCTAGGGTCTCAATACTATTTTTACATGGAGCCCCAAACTGCCCTGGCGGTCCCAGATGAAGACAACTGTATGGTGGTATATAGTTCAACTCAATGCCCAGAATGGACTCACAATGCCATAGCAAAATGTCTTGGTGTTCCCGAGCATAATGTACGTGTTGTTACCAGGAGGGTTGGTGGAGGCTTTGGGGGCAAGGCAACAAAAGCAACACCTGTAAGTGTTGAACTCTGAATGCAACAAAAACACATAGTTTTCGGATTGCTAGTTATCTGCAGATTAAGGTTATCTTTTTTCCAGTGTGCTATACTATGTACCTCGTTTTTCACCGTCTGCAATGATATAACAAAGTTCTTTAAGGAGTGGCTTTGTTGGCGACCATTTTGTGATCATGATCATAATTTTCATTTGACAAAGCTTGGCATGAACTCATTTTTATGTGTTTTGTGGCTTGTTAAGCGTTACGTGAACATTTAAGCACAAGGCCGTGGATGTGCGCATGTGTGTGTGAAAAGCAGTGATACTCATAGCCACTTAAGTGTTTTTTGCATATTCGTTGGTATTAGATGCTTTGCTAAATATAGCAAATCTATGAGTGCCACAGAAGTAACTATCTGTAGCTATAAAAGGAGCTAGTTCATTGACATCAGCATTTCCCGATTCAGACCCAGATACTGGCATTTGTTGACAGTCGGATTTGTTTTATAAAGCATGCTTTCTTCTTGTTTCAAATCTGTTTCTGCTAATGCAAATGCTTGACACAATTTCGTTTAGGTTGCTACAGCTTGTGCCCTTGCAGCGCACAAGTTGCGCCGTCCGGTCAGGACATATCTCAATCGTAAGACTGATATGATAACATCTGGCGGAAGACATCCCATGAAAATAACTTACAGCGTTGGATTCAAATCAAATGGAAAAGTTACAGCATTGCACCTCAATATATTGATTGATGCTGGAATGTATGCAGATCTAAGCCCAATGTTGCCAATGACCATTAGTGGTCCCCTTAAAAAGTATAACTGGGGAGCTTTGTCATTGGATATCAAAGTGTGTAAGACGAATAATTCCAACAAATCTGCAATGAGATGTCCCGGTGAGATGCAAGGATCCTTTATTGCTGAAGCTATAATAGAAAACATTGCTTCAGAACTCTTAATGGAGGTTGATGTCGTCAGGAATATTAATCTTCACACATATGAAAGCCTGAGTGTTTTCTACAAGGGGGCTGCAGGTGAAGCACCAGACTATACTTTGCCTGATATATGGCATAAACTGGAGCAATCTGCATGTCTACCACGACGAATGGAAGCAATAGAGCAGTTTAATAGGGGTAGCATATGGCGTAAAAGAGGCATCTCAAGGGTTCCCATCGTGTACGGAGTCTCACTAAGACCAACCCCTGGAAAAGTTAGCATTCTTTGCGATGGTTCTATCGTGGTAGAAGTTGGAGGAGTGGAAATTGGGCAGGGGCTGTGGACTAAGGTGAAACAGGTGACTGCATATGCTCTCAGTTCAGTTGGATGTGATGGAACAGAAAACCTCGTGGAAAGGATACGAGTGATACAATCTGACACGTTAAGCTTGGTGCAAGGTGGTATTACTGCTGGTAGCACAACATCTGAATCAAGCTGCGAAGCTGTCAGGTTGTGCTGCAACACTTTGGTGGAAAGATTAGGCCAACTTAAAAGTGAGTTGCAGGAGCAAACATGTCCAGTCAACTGGGAATCCTTAATACTTCAGGTATAATTCATCCATCAGACGCTATAAATTGTGGTCCTCAATGTTAATATTCGTACACGATGCTGATAGGAACTTCTTCTTAGCCCAGAATGATCCAAAACTTTCTGTCTTCTCAGAAGATCAGTTAACACTTTTTTTTTTTTTTTTTTGGGTGGTAAAATGCATAGATCAAAACTCACTCAACTGCACATCACATGATTCCTATCTCTATTACATCCGCAACATAAATATAACCATCAGCAACACAACTGCTGGTACTACTGAATAAAGATATACATCTCATGAACTAATGACTAAAACAGAAATTTCTATACATGCATACCGATCCCTGGTGTTATTTTTGCTCATCATTGTTGAGTTTGCAACATCAATATTTCTCCATTGGATCTCCTGCTTGAAGTCATTGATCACACGATCTGCTGGTCTAAACTTCCCTTCAAAGACTGAAAGATTCCTTCATGTCCAAATAAGATATAAACCAGCAGTATTACCGCAAAAAGAGCTTTCATTTTAAGCCTACTCCTCTGCCAGAAGAAGAGCAATCTTCTCTAGTGTGATATGGCAATAGAACTTGAACTTTATCCACTGCATTTTCTTCGGTGTTGTTGGTACTTTTTCATGTTTATTACAGGAACATTATGAATTGACTAGTCACGTTCATCTTTAACTTTGATAAAGGAGGTTAGTATATATGAAAAATAATGGGATAAACTTTGGCTCCGGACTAAATGATACAAGAAATTACTTGGGAGCTGGTAAGTGCATTGTCTTACAAGTTTTGAACATGATCTTTTCATTTGCTGTATGGGGCTCAAATCAAGTTTGCTAGGCATATTGTATCATTAAGTTGCATATTTTTCAAACCTGTTGAGATTAATATATTCATTTTGGACTGATAGGTATCGTGTGATATGCCATTTTTTGCTGTTTCAATCTTGGTATTTCTATCATATTGCAGGCTCATTCTCGAGCGGTGAACATGGCAGCACATTCATACTATGTGCCTGTGTCTGATTCCATGTACCTAAACTATGGTGCAGCTGTCAGCGAGGTAACTTAGTAGATAAACTTCACATCTCCGTTAGAGCTCATGTTATTGTTCAGTATTTCATATAATTAAATTGTTGGGGGTCTTCTATTGTCCAATATATAATGGAGCAACATAATCATTTCACAGGAAAAATCATGATATAAGGAGTTTCCTAAAATGATGTATTTGTGGATCATGCAGGTAGAGATAAATATACTCACGGGAGAAACTAACATTTTAAGAACAGATATCATCTATGATTGTGGGCAGAGCATGAACCCTGCAGTTGATTTGGGACAGGTAAGTAATTTAGTTCCTTAATGCGCGTCGAATCCACTAACTGTTTGCGGGCAATAAGTTATTGATACTTCCACTCTGCTGTTACCATGCACAATTTGCCATGTGGGGGATTTTCTTCTTGTAGATTGAAGGAGCTTTTGTGCAAGGAATTGGATTCTTCATGCTGGAAGAGTACCTTGTCAATGCAGATGGATTGTTGATTTCAGACAGCACATGGACATACAAGATCCCGACAATTGATACCATACCAAAGCAGTTCAATGTTGAAATCCTTAGTAGTGGGCATCACAAAAAACGAGTCTTATCATCTAAAGGTATTTTTTACTATATTTCTGTGTGAAGTTTATAATTGGTTTTGAAATACTTTGATCTGGAATAACAAACCCTGAAAATATAATCCGTAAGGTAGATGAGAACTAGGCGATTTGACTAGAGTTGTTCATTGACAGATCAAATATTCTCTAGGGCTTGTATTCATAGTCCTTTTTCAAAAACTATCATATCGGACGGAGGGAGTAAATACTTGATTCACACGATTAATATAGTCTGAAAAAGTTCAAAGTCCCTCGCTATGAATTTACTATCTTGCTAGGCCTGTTTCATGGATTTTCCCAAGTCATTGGTTATTGCTTAACAAGTTTCCTCATAACACCGATCTTGCTCTCTTGGAAATGAACCATTTTTGCAGCCTGTGGCGAACCGCCATTGCTTCTGGCAGCATCTGTGCATTGCGCAACAAGGGCAGCGATTAAGGCAGCAAGGAAACAGCTAAGAACATGGGGCAAGCTTGATGGGACGACGGATTCATCTTTCCGGTTGGATGTTCCGGCTGTAATGCCCGTAGTGAAGAGCCTCTGCGGCTTAGATTGCGTCGAGATGTACTTAGAAACCTTGCTTGCTGCTTCATGATACTATCAGCAATCGTCTAATGGATGTTGAATCCGTGCGCGATGTTTTGAGGCTGCTGCAGTGCTGTGTATCAAAGTTTTCTCTAGTTGGAGCCATGTCGGAGTTTTCTGCAACTATATTTCTTCTATTATCTCATAATAATGGTTCAAATATTAGGTATGGAGAGATTGCGGATTTTTTTTATTTTATTATTTTTTTTTGGGTTTTGTACAGAAAGGAGTCTAAATCATGAAATTGCAATATTTCCGAGACACGTTTATATTATACTTCAACCACGGTTTCCATCCTGACGTGGATTCATGTTACCGCTGCAAGCCATCACGTCTCTTCCCAGATCTCCCTCACCACAGGTCCCACAGAACCATTGCCCTCTCCAACAATTTTATCATTCCTGCATAACCAAATCTTCCATGTAGCAAATACCAAAATCACAACTTTACCTCTCATTGAGTTTGTCAAACCATCGGACAGGTTCATAAGCAACCCTTTTGCCAAATAATGCAGCGAAAAGCCAACCACAAAAATTGCCTAACATTACCCTTTGCGGGTTTTCCATTACATTGACTTTATCCTTCCCATTATCCTTTATTCAAATATAACTGAATTAGCCAAAAATTTCAATTTGAAATTAGGTAATTAGTGGCTCTAGAGATTGGAAAGTTTGCATCTGCAATCCTTTTTTTTTTTTTTTTAACAATAAAGGAGGTAATTGTCTTGAGTATTAAACTATTAGATGTTGTAAGATATACCACCCACATCATGTTCTAATCAATGTTTCAATGAGAATAGTTTCGATCTGTTTGGAGAAGAGACAATCGCTCTCACTACCAAAAAAAAATAAAAAAAATAAAATAAAAGCTTGGCTGATCTATTATTTTGTCTTTAGAATCTGTGTAAAGATTTAAATAGTTTGTCATAAATAATTAAAAAATATTCTGTCACGCTAGAATTACCTACAACGTAGGTAAGGTGTCGGTGTCGGTGTCGACCGATACGTAATGTAAAGTTTTGTATATTGAATCATTCAAATATAGGTATTGTTAAACATAAGTTGATTTTACTTTGCACAATTTATAAAAAGGACTCAAATATCCCTAAAATTTTCCCTTTCACTCTTTTTTTTTTATTTATTTCTTCTTAATTCTTTATTTTCTTTTTTTTTTTTTGGTACAATGAAGAAGGCAAATGCCTAAAATACTAAACTATCACACATGTCAACTAAATCTTGTTTCCGAAAAAGTGAGATCAAAGGTACAGCTTGTGCTAAATCATCATTCCCAAAGTTCGGGCCTTCATGATCATTTTGTCGTTTCAAACCCTAGTATCTACTCAACAAGCTTATGATACCTCGAATAATACTTCTGTGAAAATACAAGACACCTTTTTGGATGTATGATGTTTGCATTTCAAATAATACCACTATATCTGAGCGATGGCTATGTTTAATAGACGAAAAAACTCGAATATCTTTTTTCGAGCTAAACATGTCACACTTCCCAACAACTTTATCATGATAAAAATCAATCGAAAATATAGGATACTTATGTTCAAAGGTTACTTGAGACTGTAGATCCCAAAGCAGCCACTTTTTTTTTTTTTAATTATTTCTGCCTTTTTCTAACTAATGCAGCTTGATTTTACTACCAAAAGCAGCGACTAACAATAAGAGTCACTCATGAAACCCATGATCCGCCGAACAACTTACGATCAAACAATAAACAAATCAACCTAACTGCAATCTTCTTTCTTTATTTTTCTTTTCTAATTAACTACGGCATTACAAAACCTAGGCCACAAACACACATAGCCCCCACCAAGTTTTGCACCCCCCCCCAAAAAATAAAATAAAATCGCCAGCAAATTACACTGGTGACGAAATTTGGTTTTACACCACCGGTTTGGTAGTGGAGCCTTACCTAGGGTTCTAGCAAAAGAAAACCACGGGAGTCTCCAAGGTAGACACTCCGATACTTAAGTCAGAAAAGGGTTTAAAGAAAGTATGTGAGCAGTAGTTTGTGCTACAGATATCGTACCGTATTTTGGTCTGATCAACCCTATTTATAGACATGAAGTTTCCTTAAAGGATGACGAATCCCACTAGATTTCATGTTCTAGAACTGCCTTTATCAGGTCGGCTGGATCGTAGTTGGTTGATGGGCCGATCCAGTAATTCTCAGTGGATAGGGACTCGTCAAGTGCCCCTGTCAAGTATTAGTTGTACAAAATAAACAAGACTTGACACAAAATAAAACTGACCTGGACCCGCCCCAAGTGAGACAGACTAGACACGGCTTGTATTATACTGAGCAGGTCCAACAAAGCATCTCGCGGGTTAGGATCCGACTCAAGGAGGCGACCCGCCCTAAGATCCCGCCCAAACCATCAAATCGTGCGGTATCAGCAGACACGTTCCCCAAGTGACAATACCTTCATCATTACTGCTCCCTTGGAACTCGCCCAAACCGTCAAATCGTGGGCAGCAACAGCAGTAAATAAAACCTTTCAGGCTCTTTATTCCCTGTGTTTCATTCTGTGAAGAGAACAACGTTCCCCCACTCTCAAAACCCATCCTGTGAAAATCAGAGTTCGCCACTGTGCCCCAGGTATTACGGCCGGTAATGCCAACGAGCCAAGGTGAGACCCTGCCGTATGTTGTGGAGGTACTCTTTTAGAGTGTCGATACCGTCGACAGCTTTTCAGGATTGGTATATGGTGAAGAGAAACCTTGTGTCAGGCTCTCGAAAGATAGTAGAAGCCTATAGTGGGTCTCCGATTTGGAAACCCAATTTCCTATATGTAAAGATCCCTGAAAAATACTGTGTGGCCTGGAATTATCGAGAAGCCAAAGGCTTTGAGGCGGTAAAAGACGAGTGGACGAAGGAGGATGAGGAGAAAATCAAAGAATTTGCCAGTGACTTAGAGAAACTCGAGCGATATCCCAAGATACTAGGATATAAAGTGGTGCAGCAATTCGTTCCTGTCATGCTAATCGAGGGATCAGAAGCTGACGACATCCTCGGTGTCCCCTTCGAGGAAAAGGAAGGTACTAATCTCGTTATCATTTCTGTGTATTTAGGTCATGTCATCGGGAAATGCTGGTTCTAGATTATATGATGACTCCAACCCCTTTAATGTTGTAAACTCAGAGGACGATACTTCTAGAACAAAATCAGTGGCAGAGAAGATAAAGAAGAAGAAGAAAAAGAGGGCTGTGGCCAGGGAGTCCGAGAAGGAGCCAACCGCGAAAAAGTCGAAAACCCACACTTCTCCCGACAAGGAGATTGAAGCAACAAAGTAGACCGAGGAGACTATTCCCCCCACAACCGATAAGGAGGCACTTTCAGAGAAGGAGAACGGGCCAAGCACTCGATCCAGTTGCGTCGAGAAGGGAAAAAGTCCTGCCGAGGGGAATGTAACCATCTTGCCGCCTGAGATACCAGCCGGGGGCCCTATTGTTGCAGTTCACACCTTCGACAATCCTCCTACCATCGAGTGCCCTGTGCTGGAAGAGTTCGCTGCTAGCCTTACTGAGGCAGATGGATTTAAATTGGTAAACTTCTCAATCCATCTCCGTTCATTGATTTCCATATTTTAGCATTGAATGTATATCTGTTCTGTTTCTGGTTTCCACAGATGAGCGTAGTCATGATGAACCATGCCAAGAGGTCCAGGGACCTAAGGCGAGAACTAGCAGAAGCCCAAGCTGAGAGAGATCAAGAGGTGACCTAGAACAGCGCTCTCGAGGAAAGGAATCAGCAGCTGCAAGCCAAGGAAGCAGAGCTTGCCTCGGTACAAACTCAGGTTGGGGAACTAAAGCAGAAGTTTCAGGAGTATTGCGACCTGCACATCTCCAAGGAGGACTTGAATAAATGGTGCACTGCATTCTGGCGAAGGATGCTATCATCAGGGGGGATGACCGCTGCTGTGGAAGAGATTAACACCACCTTGATGGCTTATGGGGGCCACGCGATTGCCGTCGAGGGCTTAAAGAGACTGAAGTAAAAAAAGCTATCAAGGCGAAGTGGCTAAAGCAATTTCTGAAGAAAAACCCAAAAAAAACCATGTATGAGGCCTTGGTCTGGGGTCACGGCAAACTATCCACAGATCAGCTACCCCTGTGGGAGCCCTTGTGTGAGGCTCTATCCAAGATGGGCTTGCCCGAGAGTATTGCCTCATTTCCTGGGGATATGGCTCATGTTTTCTCTAGAGGTCCTGGTGAGGAATTGGCAATACCTGAAGTGTCCGACGAGGATTTTGTAATTGATCTCCAGGAAGATGAAGATGAGACTGCCGAGGAGGATGACACAGGCAATTCAAGTGCCAAGGACCAAGATCCCCCCACCGTGGGAGATACTGGAGGAGCCGAGGAGGGGAGCCCTGCTAGCGAGGGATTATCTGAAGACCAACCAGGGAATGACTCTCGTTCTCAGACTGCTGTATGAATTTAATTCCCTTGTAATAGAGTTCCTCCTTATTTTGAGAAGTTATTGTATCGCCATTCATGGTGGTGAATGTGGACATTTTAAGTATCTGTTGGTATTTACATGATATTAATCCCTTTTAACTTTATCCCATGTCTTATGCTAGGAATCATACTTTGTACACCAGGTACATCTGATGATCTTGGACGAAGTTCAAGCCAAAATTTTTTCGATGTATGCTATGGTTTCTGCGGTGATGAGAAAGTTGGGCAATGTCCACAGTATTTTTGCTGTACGAACCCTCAAGCAAGATATTGTGGATGCCATGAAAGCATACAATATACAGATACATTCTTGGCTGGTACATCGGTTTAAGCAAAAGGAAGAAGAATATCAACGCCGCCTTCGGCAATATGACCTCGATTATCAGGATTCCCTAATCCTGGAGGCAAATATAAATGAAGAAATGGCGAATATAAGGAAGGAGAATGCCCAATTGAAGCGCCGAGAAAGAATCACGGTTTTCCCATGGTTTTTTGAGAAGTTCCACATCCTTTCACTTGTTGAGAAGCAAATTCAAATCAGGACAGAGCGCTTCATTGCCGCTATCGAGATGCTAAAGGAAAGGACTAAAGAGGCTGAATTTTATTTGAGACAATCTGCCGTCCTACAGAACATACTGGTCGATCGTGAAATCCTGCTTCCCGTTCTCGAGGGTCTGGATGAACACGAAGAAGCTCGTGAGAGGACGGCCGCCGAAGAATTCCTTCTTAGGCTCAACGAGTAAGATTGGGAAATTATCGACTTGAAAGAGAAATTGAACTAGTGTATTGACTATCTTAGGACGCTAGGCTTCTCAGGCATGATTAAGCCGTCTCGATTTAACCCTAAGGGGGAAGATCTTAATTTTTAAGGGTAAACAAATGTGTTTATCCCTACCTGGCACAAGGTGTGAGGGCAATGTATTTGATTCGAGCCTTATTAATGTCATTTTTTTTGTGTGTACTCGAGTAGTATTTATATAGCGCTTTCACGGCCGGATGTAAAGTACACGGCACCTGGGGGGACTGGGTACGAGTTCCTCGACTTATTACCTCGATCTACGGCATGTACGAGGGGACTTCCTCAGTTTTTGTCCGGATGTTAAATA